TTTTTTTTAAAAGAGAAAAATGTAAAACAAAATTTGAAAACAAGATAATAGTAAAGTAACCATGGTTGATACACTGCGTATTGTTATCTTTAAATTAGATGCTCAGGCGTTCGGAGCGAGCTGTGCGGCGCGCTGTGGCGTCGGTGGGCTGCAGCACCGCGGTCTGCGTGACCTGCTTGGAGAAGCCCAAGTCCAGGCGCCCGACCTGCCGCGTGCCCTGCTGCTCCGTGACCTGCTTCAAGAAGCACAGAGAGCAGTGCAACCTTGAAACTCATCCTGTTGAGAAAAGAAGATCGGTTCCTCTCCTGAAAGCTGCACAGCTTGAGGAAAACAAAGACGACGATTCGTCTGTAGCTGATTTTCTCAATAGTGATGAAGAAGAAGATAGAGTTTCTTTGCAAAATTTAAAGAATTTAGGTGAATCTGCACCATTAAGAAACTTACTGCTTAATCCGCACCTGAGACAGCTGATGGCCAACCTCGGTCAGGGGGATGACAAAGCAAAGCTCATGAGAGTCTACATGCAAGAGCCCTTGTTTGTGGAGTTCGCCGACTGCTGTCTAAGGGTTGTAGAACCATCCCAGAATGAAGACTCTTGGGGGGGGGGTCACTGTGCTCCTCACTGAAGCTCGTAGCTGACACTCAGAACCTGACCATCGCTTCTCCCAGGCCGCCCGCCAGCAAGTGGAGGCCGGTGATGTCCCCGCCAGAGGCAGCAGACTGGCTGCTACAGGCTGTGCAGGCCCTTGCCTCCACTGGTGTGGGCTCGTGTTTCAGCCATGAGTTTACTGAAGGTGGCAATCCTTTGTGAGGAGACTTGGCATGCACGTGTACATGGTTGTCTTAAAATATTTTATTTTTGGTAGTTGGGGCAGAGATCATAAATATCAGGTTTTATACTCGTGAGTTAAAAACTGGATCATTATTAATAAAATCAAGATATGGAAAAAAATTAGATACTCAGAATACAAGTTTTAAGCACTTAATTGTTCAAAATGTTACCACAAACCTTTGTTTTCAATGAGCTAACAGAAATTAATGTTATAATGATTTTAATTATACTATTAAAACTATAAGATAAATATGCCTTCAGGACTTTAGTTACTCATATTGATATAAAATGTTAAAAGTAATTACACAATTTATATATAAAGTAATAAAATGAAACATCATAATGGAACTTTAGGGTACTCTTTTTGCTTTTTGTCATGCGTAAAAACATGTCAGTGTATATCTTCATTTATAGAAAAATATATGTGTCTGTCATTTTCATTTCAATTTGTGAATGGAAATACGTTAGATTCCAAGTAATTATAAAACATTAAATATTTAATATTTTTCTCATGAAATAACATTTGTTTTCTCATAATATTTATGGTCTTCTTTTTGGAGATAATAATACTGCATAGATCACTAACAATGCAGTATTTAAAGTACTGTTCTATTTCACTTCAGACATTATCTCTTAAAATTATATTTGTAAATTTTAGACACCATTTGTTAGCTTTTAATTTTACATTCATATTTTTTAATATTAGTTTCCTTTTTCCCTTCCTTCCTTCCTTCCTTTCTTTCTTTCTTTCTTTCTTTCCTTCTTTCTTTCGTACCAAGGATCAAACTCAGAAACTTGCACTTGGCAGGCAGGTGCTTACACTGCTTACCTATATCCCTGGTCCAACGTTAGAATTGTGTAGTATTTCTTGACTTTCTTCAGAAAACTTAATACTTACACAAATTTGACAATATTTAAATGTCTACAACATTAATATTTTTTCTTTCTTTATTTTAGAATAAATCCTAAAAATAAGTATGTTAGCTATTCTCCACATATGATGTGAACCACTATAAGAAATTATTGGAATAGCTGACTTGTAGCTCTAGCATTCCTCTGCAAGTAGAATGGCAATCCTTCTTTTAAGAACATCGCTTTTTAAATACCAAGATCTCCCCAATATCATGTGAGGGTATTTAATGTCCCTTTTGTTGATATTAAGATGTGGGGTCTATTGGGAAGAGATGAGAAAGGCCTTTTTTTTTTTTTTCTCTTCTTTCCACTCCCATGAAGAGACATGTTTTCCTCTGCAGAGGAAGGATGCAGTAACTGATGCCATTTGAGGAGACAGAACACTACTCACTAGACCCAGAAGTTACCTGCCCTTTGATCTTGTATTGTTCAACCTTCAGACCTGTGAGCTTTTATTATTTATAAATTACACCCTCATCAGTATTTTGATAAAACAACATAAAGAGACTAAGACAACTAGATAACAGAAAATTGTTTGGGCATTTATCACTTTTACATGAGAAGCAAGAACACAAGAACACAGACTCTATCCTAACTTTCTTGCCTGTCTTAGAAGCTTTTTGGCTTACATCCAGAGGTTGTCTTCTGTTCAGGTATTGATCTAAATTATTGAGATTTGCCAGAAGTTTGTCAATTTTGTCTTTCTTTATATTGTCCATCTAGTTTAAGAAAATATTTTTTTATAAAACCACTTAGATCTATGGAGAAGCACTCTTCAAAAAAGAAACACTCCCTTTAAGTGCAATATTGTCATCTACACACAGAACTTTGAAGGCCACTCCAATATAATTTCAGCAACTTAAATTTTCTGATAAAGATCTGTACCAGTAAGTGCTCTAACACTGAATTGTACCCGCAGATTGTTTTTATTTTATTTTTGAGACACATTATCAGTAAAATGCTTGGTTTAACATCAAACACAATCATCTTCCATCATCCTTTCAAGTACCTAGAATTATAGGCATGTATTATCACAAAAATACTACTTTTAAATAGTTATGCATACTCTAAGCACTGTCATAAGTTATGACTGTTTTTTAAAAAGAATCCTTATTTTCCATGGTGCACAGAATTGAAGTCAGGGAGCACTGAGCTACACCCCCATCTATTTTGTTTATCTGTTTTGCTATGTTTCAGTAGCTAAATTTTTCAGCCCGACATTGCCATTTTTATGCCTCAACCTCCCATTACAGGTATGCATGCTCATTCAGGGATTCTTTAAGCAATTCTATAATTTGTCAATAGCTATGAAATATATTTGCAAATACATTAATCGCTGACACAGTATAAACTTTACTAAGTTTTGGGGGACTTTTATGTACAGTGCTTCTAATGCCTTTAAATATTAAAGTTTACAGAAAATTAAAACAAAGCATGTGTATTAGAGACATTTCAATATTATGGTAAATTTCAGTTGTTGACATTACAGTACATATATGTTTTAGAAGCTAAAATATTGCATCATTTCAAATTTTTTATTATGATTAGTAATATTGTGCCATGTATATAATCCATTGTCACAAATGCACAGGAAATTTTGCCAAGTTAATAATGTAAATCCATAGACTGCAAGTTCAATTATATTTCAAATATTTAAAAATACTCTTTAGTTTGGCATTTCAACCATAAGCACTTGATAAAATGAACGCAATAAACAAATTTAATTATATGCACACATTTATAAATACATGTTTTACTGTGATGGATTAATTAATGATCAACTTGTAACTCCCAGCTGAACTGAATCAGTGTGGTGTTGGTTGTACAAGCCCATCTGAGCATCATTGCCACCAGCATGAAAGCACAAATGGAGGGGAAGTTTAGGTATGTTGTTGGTTCTTCTGAAGGAACACGTCACGCTGAGTTCCTGATATGAACTCAGATGTTCTCATCCTCAGAAGAGCTCAGGGCTTGGCTGTCACTGAGGATGGCTGTGATTCACCTCAACAGAGCTCTTTCTTTTTACCTTGAGCATCACTTCCTGACTTTGCAAGCATTGAATTAAATATCTGGCTTTAAATTGTGTAATACAAATTACCATCAACTTGTACTTGTTTCTTACAGAAGACTTTAACGACTCTCTTTATGTTTCTCATATAGCCTAAAGCCTTGGAGAAATTCAGTGATTGTCATAAACAATAACAATGAAAAACATATTGGAATTAAACATGCAAATACATTGCAATAAATTTAGTGATGGAGCTAAGTATATACTGGATAGAAAGTATAACAGGCATTTACTTTTGTCATGGTCATTTCTTTCTTAACTACTTAAAACTAATCCACTTGCTCATTGTTTATGAACCATTTGTTATAGTAGAGTATTAGATGTTCTAGACATTAGATTTTGTGTCTTATGAAACAAATTCTACTCTAAATGGAAATATTGATTTACAAATTCTGCCTATCTCTTAATAAATAAAATAGCAAAAATTTTAGATATGGTAGACAACATGTAATTTATTGATTAAAATATATTTAGCTAATTAAATTGCCCTTGAATGTGTATTGACTAACCAAAGCAAAGTATGTATAATAGGTTCTGTTTAAACATAACAATAAAAGGGAATAAAATCAATCAAGGGAATGAAATTTCTGTATTATTTTACATTGGATTATTTTCTTGATTAAGCCCAGCTCCACAGGATCCTGAAAGCAAAGTGTTTTCCAATTACTTTTATGACATTGTTGATTTTCCTCTTATTTTGTTTTGTTCCTTTATTTCTTCCACTCTCTGTTATTTGGACAAGGTGTGTAAATGTATTTGTGCAGTTGTTATTGTTAGCTGACAGCCAACTGATAGTACTATATTAACCAAAGATTTAAGCCTTTATTAAAAAGTTGCCTCCCCTGGGAAGACTTAAACCAGAGAAGCATAATAAGGGAAATGAGGCAGCCCTGCCTTTGCAGATTGAGATTCCAATGAAGTGTGACTCCTCCTCCCCAGAGTTGAGCTTAATAGGTTCACAAGGAGCTGACGTCACTGTGTCCTAAGGGAAGCCATAAATAACTGCAGTAAACTTCCATGATTAAATTTTTGATCTGGATTGGAGTTGACTTTTTCTGTTTTTCCAAACAACTAATTTATCAGACAACAAAAGTAAATCTTCCCTATGAAAGACAGATTCCATGGGAATATTATCTTTTCTTCTTGTGTTCTTATCTTGCAGGAATATACATTTGATTGTTCTTTTCTGTGTGTGTTTATATGCATACACATGAAATGGGCGATGGTTTCCCAAACCCAGCCATGCTACTACACATTTTATTGCATGCTTATGAAATGTTATGCTTCTCTTTGTTACTAATATTTTCATTTGTGACTTTTGTTAATCCGTCAGATCTTTTTGTAGTGACAAGTAACAGGTTCTTCTCATGTTTTGTCCAATGTACATCAGCTAACACTTGCTGTACAGCCTCTGGCTTTCAATGGCATTAGGCAAGGATCATTCTTTAAGGGTGCCTTCATTTTTATTTTGATAGGTTATGTATTAAGTTTACTGGACATGGAACTTTTTCAATATGTAAGTGTCCGATTAGTATTTTTTTTCTCTATGTGATTCCTAAATGTACCCAGGTTCTCATTTTTCTCATTTTTTTGTTCTGTTCTACCAATTGCTTTCTCTATTAATTCTCATCCCTTTATAAGCCATGCTAACTAGGCAAAAAGAATAGTTGGAAAACAAAGCTGACCATAAAAAGATCTCCTTGTAGGTAACGCTGCACTTCACTGTTTTTGAGTAAAGAGCAGTATATTTTAGGTGGGCATCCCAAATGCTCCCCATATTCTGTCGCATTGCACGTTGGTGTCTCCTCTCGACTGTGCTTCAATTCCAGTTTTCTCTTGCATCACTAAATTAATATCTTGCAAGAATAAAGCCATCTCTCTCATTCTTGTCTCTATATTTTACTCTCCACTCCCAGGTTTACACCTTAGTGAAGCTGCCTTGAGCACCTCACACCTGAGATTACTTTGAAGGTGCTCACTTCCATACCACTCTTCTTATCTTGTTATTGTCTTTTTTGTTTCATAAATATCGATTTCCTAGACAATTTTTCTAAGTTCAAGGTTAATGGATTCCTAAGGTGTTCCAAAAATGCAATAAATGAAATGAAATGCATATATTTCAATGAATG